ATTAATTAAATAATGCTCATAAATGGCTGTTGAGATAGTATTCTCAAGTGAAATAAGTAGAGGCATGCACCAGGTATCAGCAGTCCTTATGTCATGACTTAACAAGAGGATTCTCCCCAAGCCATCAAACTGACGTCATCAGAGCCAGAACGAAACGGAGCTTCGTAAAATTGGCTTCCAGAGCGGAAGCCAATTTTCAGTTTTTGATTAAAGATTTCAACGGCAGACAATTTTTTTCCCCCAGTTTATTGACTTGCACGGTTCAATTGTTCACCACAAGACTAGCTTTTATTTACATACATATAAAAATTGATCAATTACCATAACAAAAATCTCAATCTTAAACATTTACTCATTCTGTGTATTTGTGTCTTTAAAATAGGGTAACTTTGTTGCAAAAGCTTACAGCACAAGGAAGCTTGATTTCAAATTTGATTTCAAACTGAATTGAATTTCAAAAAAAGACAAGTACATATTCAGTAATAAAATTATAAAACAAATGACCTCAATTCTGTTGAGGTATCCGAAACATGACAACACTGAATTTTTATAAGCAGTGATTTAAGAGTCATATATGTTAGACCTATTTATTTAGATAAATGGAACATCAGATGGCTTTGACCTGTAATGTCTGTACCATGTAGTGATGCAGTAGACCGACTAGGATATTTATATGTACAAATCAGACAAATATCCCATTACAATACATTTCTAGCATAAACTTACATTGTAAAGAAATTAAAGTTCCATCTTTGATTGTTGAAAGACTTTCTGGTGCATTTCACTTACAGCCAATAAAATTTCCAGTAGGATTTTCATCGATCAGGCGTGGATCTATTCTGACAGAGTTTAATCCATGAGCAAAGATAAATAATTTCTATTTTAAAAGCATGGAGAGATCGCGATTGCACAGTCTTGAGTGCGCACAAGCAATATCGGAGTGAGAGGACAGGCAGTTCATTTGAATAAGTTAGGCCTATTTGAGAGCTCGCATCCAGTTTTCTGCAATTACATGACTGTGTTCTCATGTTACAATAAAGCGCTCGCCACATTTGCTCGGGAATGATTACAATTATACAGAATACCTGCAATCCCGCGCGGATATTCAGACCCTTTAACCGACAGGAGGCGGATGCGTGTCAAACTCGCTGTCGGAGAGCAGAGAGAGATGCAGCTTGGAAAGCGGCGGCTTTTCCCGGTTCAGATATCAGGGCTTTTATAGGTTGATAGGCATGTCTGGAGCCTGTGCAGGAGCTATCTGAGGTGTCAGCTGAAGCGCTGGGGTGTCCTGCCAAGCTGGGGGTGTGGTTTGAGGTGTGATGCCTGTTGTATGTGCTGGGGGCGGCACTTTGCGGAGGCGGCTTGCGTGCCACCGTGTGCCATCGCTGAGCAAGAAGGTGGCTGGGCTATTTATTTATTATATTGGTGAAGGCAACTCTCATATCGGGACAGGCGAAAACATACCTGACTCGTCGGCAGCTTGGGCATCTACAAAACGTCGCATAATAATAAAAATAGATCTCGGGGTATTATCTTTCACAGGTAAGACTGAAGAGTGTTGCGTTTGATACGGATCACACTGACACAGCGAGTAACATCAACTTATCGTATCTTTTTACTTAACCTCTCTGTTTCAGACCCCAGTAAACGAACACATACATTGGTCAGGCATGACAGAATGCTTTCAGCACAATCAAACTCGATGCATCACGGAACACTAACTCAATGCATTATCAAACAACACTTGTGTGAGAACACAACAGTGCCGTCAAAGGTTTGAATATCAATTCAAATTGTGGGCGTGCTCAGTAACGAACTATGATTTAAAAGTAAGGAAGTAGATTATTTTGCTTAATTTGTACTTGAAGTACAAGTAAAAGTACAGCTTTAAAAATATACTCAAAAAAGTACAAGTACCCGAAAAAACTACTTAATTACAGTAACGTGAGTAGTTGTAATTCGTTACCTCCACCACTGCGTTTCACTTACCTTCTGCAGTTCTGAATCATGACTGGGATCTTTTATAGCTGGCACCGCTCCATCTTTCAGTATCAAACGATGTGCTAATCCAGCATCGAACTGGGCCTTGTTTATAAAACGTTCGTCAACAAACACACTTGTGAAACTCCTTGCTGCCCTGGAAAAACAAACTGTATCCACTGTTTACATAACGCTGGGTTCTTTAGGAAGCTGAACAAAGTTATCTTTCCCTTACAACCAAAAACACACTTCTTTGGATTGGAGACATTCTTCCCGAGCGAGTCCCGTGCAGCGCTGCCGCCGATGAAGCGCTTTTTGATGGGTGCTCTCTTGCTCTGGTCGATGCGTGCGCTGGTGCGTTCTTCCGGGAGAAATGCCCATACAAGGAGTTCCACCCTCGTTTACGTCATGAAGAGCCACGATTGAAAAAAACTCTCCAAAACTTGTACGAACCCGGAAGTAAGTTTTTGGCACAGAAATACCCCGTCATACGTCCAAATTGTTTTTTGAAACTTTGTCCATGCATCCAAGCATCCAACTCTTTAACAGTGTAAACAACTCTGAATGCATGAAACAGCATTGTACACACCCCCCCACCCTCCTTAAGGAAAATAAAAATTGGGGATTCAATGCTCTTTTCTTTACAGAAATGATTGTGAAAAGTTCAAATGCATGTGCTTAGCCAACAATAGCTACTAAACAAACTAAAATTGGGATATTTAATTTATTTATAAAATACTACTAACAAAACCCATAATGTGTTGCTAATTGCCTTTTGAACAAACAGTCATCTACACTCATTTAGTTGTAAACAGCATGTGTTTTGTTCACAAAAAAGAACTGACTCATCAGAGCATATTGTTTGGAAATGGGACTTACATGTTCGCGATGTATGTGTTTGATTCACCAAAAAGAATCGGCTCATTAATTCACGAATCAAACTACTCTGGCTGCGTTGCATGTTTATGATTCGCTAAAAGAACCGGTTCACAAGATTCATTTGTTCTGCGATCCAAATGGACTGATCACGGTGTTTGTTCGCTATTAAGGTTGGGTTACGATGTCTAATAAATAAACTTTGTCAGGGTATTTTAGTACGATATTGCACTTGCGAGAACCTGTAACAAAACCGAACGTCATTTTGTTCTGGTATTTCTTTAAATGAAATTGGCTGTGAATAAGCTCCCAATCCTATTCATTGCATAACACGCTTGACCAACATTTGGTAAGAAGTGTAAAGAGTGCAGTCTGTTTACAGATACAGATGTGTTCTTTTGTAAAACTACTCATAACCACAGTAAAAGCCACCATAATCTCCTGAAAATAAAGTAAAGATCTGAGATTTACAGGTCAGTACTTGCTGTAGTGTAATTTCCAGGTCAAACCTCTACAAAATCATTTTTAACCCTTTTTACACTGAGGGAGATTATCACTAAATCTGAAAGTTATGAAGGATTCAAAATGAAAGGTTTTGCTTCAGATTAGGTTAACACATTCAATCAGTCTCTTTTTATTTGTCATTGTTATTTCATCCAGTTCTCCACTCAATTCTCCCTCTTTCCACAGAGGTTCCAACAGCAGACCCCAAGAAGCCAGACTCCAATGTGACAATGTCCCCCAAGCAGAAGGAGGAACAGGCCCGTATGAGAGCCAAAAATCTGGCAAATGCAGTTCACTACATCTGGGAGACGGGTGAAGAAAAATACATGCTGCGCTACTTTCACACTGGCTTCTGGTTGTCCTGTGAGAAACACAATGATGGTGCTGGTGAGGGCAAATGCTTCTGTATACTTCTTTCTGATATCTATAAGCTTTTAATGATGATGTTAAGTGATATTAAGCTTCAAATCATCAAAATTCACTTTTATTGGCAGAGTTATTTTGCAGCTGTTTGGCTGAAGACTTCCATTGTTCTTTATATAATATTCAAATTCAATTCGGATCCAAAGAAAATGAGTAAAACACACAATTAACGCATAAAACAACTACTGTCATATGGCCAACTGTCAAAGCTGTTCTTAAAACTAATGTCCTGATTCGGTCTCTTTGAACATCTGTTTCCTGTTGTGGCCTTTCTTAACTCTTATTTAACTGCCATGGGGTCACCCCAGTTCTCAGCATCTGCTACAACAAGATAGTCTTACACAACTCAGAGGACATGGCTGCAAGTTTCTTAAGTCACATAATGCATGCACCTCACTGTTTTTAAAGCAAGATAGATGGATGGATGGATGGGTGGATGGATAGATAGATGATTCGGAAACAAGAAACAGTTGACAGACTGTGCTTATTCTTCACAGGTGAGAAATGTCGGAGCTTCATTGAACTGACCCCTGGAGAAACACAAGGTGAGATGTTTGTGAGCTATACATAGAGAACTTGGCATGAAATAGCTCATTTCTGATTCTGTTGCATATAATGTAGGAGTTCTGTGGCTCTCAGTGATATCAGAGTTTGCATACATCAGCCTCCTGGCGATGGGTTTTCTTCTGATGTGGGTGGAATTGCTGCTCTTGTGTCTGAATAAGGACATGTATGCGCTCAAGATCAATGCTTTTGCTGCCATGTGCACCGTGCTGTCTGGTGAGTTTCTGAGAGCTTTGGGAAAAAATATGGTTCTTAATCAGTATGTAACAGAGACAAACAGGGAGAACAATATCTTTTCTATATTTCAGGTATGATGGGAATGGTGGCACATATGATGTATACAACAGTATTCCAGATGACTGTCAGCATTGGGCCCAAAGACTGGAGACCTCAGACGTGGGACTACGGCTGGTCATTTGCGTGAGTCTCCATCTTTCTCTAATCCATCTTTTTATTCTGCCTTTCTTCTACTCTACCCAACTCTAATTTTGTGCCTTTATTTTCTTTTCTCTAATACATAACTGCAAAATACTATAGGGTCCAAAAGTCTAGGACGACATTGAAATTCATTGGGATTCATTATATAATTACAACCTGCTAATAAACAGAAAATGTAGGATACATTTTAAAATAAAGAACCTTTCATAACTTTCATAATGTAGCTGAAAATTCAGCTTTCCCATCATAGGAATAAATTACAATTTAAAATACATTCAAATTGAAATCAGTTATTGTAAATTGTAGCAATATTTCACAATATTACTATTTTTACTGTATTTTTGATCAAATTAATGCAGCTTAGGTGAGAACAAGAGGCTTTTTTCAAAAACATTATCAAATCTTACCAACCCCAGATTTTTGAATGGTAGTGTCAGGTGATTGCAACAGAAGTCAAAAATTAATAAGTCAAAAATTTGGAAATGGTCCTCACTGCAGAACACAAGATCCAGGGGGCGTGGTTGGATCCAGATCCAACTCCTCCCACCTTACATATACCTAAACCTACCCGTCTCAACCCCCTGATCCCTAAACCCACCCATCTCCACCCCTAAATCTACCATCTCCACCCATAGATATGGATCCAACCCCGCCCCCTGGATCTTTGTTCTGCAGTGAGGGGCTACTAAAAATTTGTGCTACTTCCACAGCATGGCGTGGATCTCCTTCAGCTGTTGCATGGCAGCAGCTGTATTCACCCTGAACTCTTACACCAAAACTCTGATTGAGATGAAGCACCGTGCCCGGATCCGTCTGGAGGAGGCCCGTGCTGCCAGCCACGCGCCGCCCTATGATGAGGTCATCGCAACCGGCGGTGAGAGCCTCTACTCCGTCAGCCGACTGGTTCAGCAATGCCATAAGGGTGCGTTTATCGACACCACATGGAGCTGCAGAGAGGAAGTGTCTGGTGGGGCTATGGTGGGGGCAAAAAGTCCTCATGGACTGGTACTGGTGGGGGGGTGCGGGAGAGAGGGATGCGAGGACTGTGAGAGAGAAATAAATGAGGTGGAAGATGCATTAGAGAGGGAAGGGAATGATGAAATGTGTTGAGGAGAATGCCTGCAGGAAGTCCTTCATCATCAGCAGCATCAGCCGTATCAGTGACCATGTTTACATGCATATAATTTTCTCATTTTGATCCATACTTTGGTTAGGCCTTCAAAAAATACATTTACATGCTCCGCAGCTGTTGAAATATCCCTGTATTCATGTAATCAGCATACTAGACGTGATCTTGGCATTTATTCTGAGTAATTTTGGACTGTCATTTTATCATTAAATGTCAATCATGTCCTACACGCGAGAGTGAGAACCTGTGTGTCAATTTCGAAATGTAGGTCTTGATGTTTCTTTTGCTGTTTGTACAATAATAGTAAAAAAAAAATGTCCTCTTTGCTTCAAAAATGTTTGTGTTCACATATCGATTTAGATTTAGAGTTTTAGCTCCAGGAATTCTGAGAGCAGTTGCGCTTTCAATTTAGTTCGAATCACGTCTGGCTCTCTAGGTTGTGTCAATCTGTACAATCATTCTTCACTTCATTATATTTTGGTTTTTCAGTAAGATCACCAAGCACAATATATCACATAATCTGAATATACAACAAGATGGAGTGATGGACAGATTACAAAAACAAAAAAAAACAGGAATTCTAGCAGCTTTAGCCAGATGCTTTCAAAAACTGGACAGAAGATTATGTGAATAATCTCCCCAGTAAGAGACCGAGATCAAGTGAGAGATAGAGAGAATGAGAAACGGTAAGAAAGGAAATCAAAATCACAAACAAAATTTTTTTTGCATGTTTTTAAGCCAATGTTCTCTTAGTGATGGTCAAGTTACAGCATACATATTCAAGTTATGGTAAAAGTATACACAAAATTGCATTTGTTGTTATTTTTAAAATATTTAAATCAATCAATCAATAACCAACCAATTATAGTCTGTCTGGAGGAAAAAAGTTAAAAATGTCATCTTTGCACGACTGTTATACAATAATAGTATTAGGAATACAATGTAATATAGTGCAAAAATAAACCATGAGAAGCTTGTTTGGATTAACATGCAATGAAATGACACCATCTTAATGTGAGAGAATAATAAAACAATTTCAAATCGACACTAAACAATGGCAAACATCAACTGAACATAAACCTACAAACTGCGATCCATAAAAGACTTAGAATTATAAGGTAAGTGATTAACCAAAGTGCCATGCTACAAACCTCTAATTCAACAAATGCTGAAATGCATGACAGAAATCAAACATACACATTACAGTCAAATGGAATAGAATACAATATTGCAACTATTTTTAAAAACGGCATCTATTGCTTAAAGCAACTGTATGTAGTTTTGTATATATTTTTTCGACTTTGGAGCCACCTACATTGGACAGCTGTACACGTGCATTTGTTGCTGCCGTAAAGCAATCCACCCTCTTGGCGGAATTTCGTACCCACTCACCGAACCTACATACACCCAGACCAGACATTTGGAGGGAATGTGGGAAACAAACAGAAGCCTTTTTTCTTATTAAAAATGAGTGTACCACCAAAATGACTTTGCAACTGATATTTCAGGGAAAATAAAACCTTACATACAGTTGCTTTAATAAAAAGATAGGCCCATGTGAAACTAGCAGAATACAATGGCGACACACAAATCAAGGATGGCGAATCTTTAATGAACACATTTAATATACAACAAATGCACATGAAGTCAAGCATGACAAAATTGCCGTTTGCATGAACATGATCACACTGGGTCATTTATGGTCGTACTGAATGAGCCGTAGCGCAGCCTCGTTTGACTGAATGGCCTGGATGAACTCTCCCTCTGCGACTCGTTCTGCATGTGTGAGAGAGTATTTACTCTGTAAATGTTTTCTCTGTATGCTAATGTCGATTAACAACAGACAATCTTAAAGGGAAAGTTCACCCTCAGTCGCTGGTCCCCATTGACTTGCTTGGGTTTTGTTTTGTTTTTTTCCATACTATGGAAGTCAATGGGGACCAGCAACTGAAGGTGAACTATCCCTTTTAAGTTAGTTTTCTTACCCTTGTCCTTTTTGTCAAAGATGGCCCAGAGTTTCTCTGCTCTCTTCTCTGGCGTGCTCTCATCACTGGGAAGATTTGCCTGCTTCTCTTTTGGTATGAGATTGAAAATTGCCTGATGGGAAATGAGAAAGAGCTGGATCAAATGACTAATTTGTTGGCTTGAATGAACTCACCAAATTTCAGTGAATACTGAATTAACATTTGAATCACTGCAGATTTAATGGCAATTTATCATATTTGAAGTACTGTGGCCAAAATACATAATCTCTATATATCACACTTGTGTCTTTGTTAATGTGTCAAGTAATAAATTCTACACGAATAGACTTATATAGTGTTTATTATGGGTCTCAACATGTTGCATGTTAGGGCAAAGACTGTAAAATACCAAAGACGTGCCACTTGTATAGTTTTGAATGGGCAAAAATGCAATGCTCAATATGCTCTATCGAAAGAAGCACCGCCTTTTGAATAAAAGAGCCAATCGATACTCGGTATAAGTCAACGCATCATTGCAGCTGCCCTTAGAAGTCTCGGTTGCTATAGAAACAGTTAGCGTTCTGGAGACATGCGCTTAGGACTGTCAAGTAATAAACTTTACCCTAATAGACTTATATAGTGTTTTTTATGGCTCCCAACATGTTTCATGTATTCTTTTATTAAAAATGTATTTTGAATGTTTCAGTTAAGTCAAGAGTTCAGCAGATATCATAATTGCTTTACTGTATTACATGCTTATGCTTGTTTTTTTGTTGTTGTTGATTTGTTGAACATTCCATGGACCTGACGCACAAACCTATTTCCAAATCTGTTATTTTGTCCTGTAATCTATGCTTAGCTGGGTTTTAATGGATTGTGTTTAGGCTATGTGCTAAATTTATTTCTCCTTGCTTTCCCTCAGCTCCCCATCTGTTTGGCCTCAGTGCTATGTATGTCTTATTCATTCTTTAGAGCTTAACTTGCTTGTTTGGTCATTTGTTTGCATGCTGATTCGGCTCAACCTAATATAACTGAAGTTACCTAACAATAGGCCAATACAAATAAATGAAATGGTGCCAGCAGTGCCAATCTTACTTGAGAGCTTTAGCAAGATAAAGAGGACAGCCATGTCTGGAGTGCTCTTCTAACCCAAAACATACATAGCAAGGTGAAAAAGTATAATAAATGAAAGACTAAAATTAACAGACTTTCAATTAAAAGAATCACTCTGCAACTATTTAAACCATAAAAAAAATGTCAATATCAAGAAATCTGTTATGCTGAAAGGGAAATGAGAAATGTTTCAGCAAATAACCATTTAAATTTAGGTCTCTTCACACAAAGCTATATTTTACCAAGATTGTACAGTAACTGTAACAGTAATTATTACTATAAAGTTTTAATAATCACTCTAATTCAGTGAGAATAGCTCAGTCCACACAACAACTATAACGATAATGACACAAAGGAACATTGGAATCACTTTCAGAACGATTGTTTTCTGCTGATAAATGCTAAAAAAACATTGACATCCAATCGACTTTAAAGTCCTTGAGCATCTAAAGTGGCAGATGACAAAACTGCAGCACACACTTAATAATAAATAGAACATTATCATGCGTTGGTGTGGACGCTATAAAGTTATCATTATAATTAACTTTATTGTAATCGTCCTTGGTGTGAGCGGACCATTCGTTATTTTTGGAGCTTGACAACCTCCATTCTTTTTTATTGTATGCAATACAGTGTGTGAAGATTGCCTCTCTGTGTTCCTTGAAAGAAAGTCATGTTTGGAACGCCATGAAGGTGAGTAAATGACAAAACAATTTTTATTTTGTGGTGATCTATCCATTTTTACACCAATAAACCAGTCAAAATAGGCATTTGACACATCTGAGAATGCAAATGTGTTTGTGTTGTATTCTCAGAATGCTGCGAGAAGTGTCTTATATACGATTAATTTTATGTCATGGCGGAGCTACTACACTTTAAAAATAATCTTGCTGTGCAAATTAAAGTTTACAGATAATTATCTGAATTAAAACAAAAAGTACTCATGTACCACAACTGTAACTCAGAACGCATGTTAAGTATTCACAACAGTTAGGTTATAATCCAAAAGACAGCCCTGGTTTGATGTAATATTACACTGTAGTTTATTTTTTAATTAAACTTTGCTGTCTCCATATGATATAAGGGATATTATTTATACTGTTGATTCATCTATCTCTGCCCAACACTCTACACTACTCCCTGGGAAATTGATCGGCCATTTCTGAGAAGAAGGCTTAAGAGTTGACATGTCATTGAATCCCCCTGTGCCCATGGTCTTAAATCCTGATTGCACATTGAAGCGCTTATCTCTCTCACAGTACCCACCACCCAATCCTTCCGCCTCCCTCCGCAATGAGACCTTGTAGAGTTCAAGCTTAAGGATGATGTCACTCTATGCTTCTAATCGCTGTTCTTAAGTCCGCTTTTAAATGCTCTTTATGTTTTACTTGTCACTGTCAAATAGAGTCTGAGACACATTCACACAGCGATGATCCCGTATGACTTATGGGGTGTCCCACCACCAGGCAAACTTAAATGGTTAGTTCACCCAAAAATGACAATTAGCCTGTGTTTTACTCACCCTCGAAGCAGGTGTATGTGACTTTCTTCTTTCAGACGAATCCAATCGGAGTTATATTAAAAATTGACCTGGCTCCTCCAAGCCTTTCAATGGGGGTAAGCGGGTGTTCGTTTGTCAACAGTTCAGAAGGCGTGAAATACAGTGCACGTATCCATAATAAATTGTCCCTCACACGGCTCCAGGGGGTGAATGAAGGCCTCCTGTAGCGAATCCATTCCGAACACACACTTACCCCCATTGTAAGGCTTGAAGGGGCCAGGACAATTTTTAATATAACTCCGATTGGATTCGTCTGAAAGAAAAAAGTCACATACACCTAGGATGCTTCGAGGGTAAGTAAAACACAAGCTAATTTTCATTTTTGGGTGAACTAACCCTTTAAGTTGCAGTCACATTGCCACAAGTTTTCAGGCAACTGTTCATTCTCAAAAGTGTAGCAGTAGTTGATCAACACAGCGAATTTGTGTGACCAACTGGAACACGAGCGAGATCTGCGTGGGAAACTTTTTAGCCCATACTCGAAACTCCCAATTGGAAATGGCTGGATTTTGGCTGCAAAATTTCACTGAGCAATGTAATTGTGACTGTGCCTTCACTGTCTGAGTACTGTCAGAGTTTATGTTAATGATGTTTTATCCTAACGTATTCCCAATGGGTGTCAGCGGGGTTTTTTTACTGTAAAATGTTAATAATTGTTCAAATTCTGAGGCAAAGTCCACAACACAACTAATGATAACAACACAGAGAAAAAAATATGTGGGAAAAACTTTGAGCGATTTTTTCCAAATGTTGAATTTTGAAACAAACATTGAGAGGCAATCAGAATCTGCCCTTTAAATAGCTGGAGCTTGAAACTCCTTGTTTTGCAGATTTAGAAATGGCTGAAATTTGCTGACAAAACTTTGCCAAGCAGCCTTAATAAATAAATAAGAAATATTGAGTTGAAATATTATTATATGTGAAGAATTCTGCAATTGAATCAACATTGACTCAACCAATGTATTTGGGGGCGGGACTATCTGTTTGTCTGACCAATGACAGATGGGGGAGTGTTCAAACAACCTGTTTGAAATCATGAATTATGCCATTCTGTTTGGTGATGCTAGTAGCACAGAAATGATGCACTTCTAGCTAACAAAATCTATCAAGTAAATAAAAAGCATAATATATTTTCATAGCAGCCTACATTTTATGATTGATAAATTAAATCTGTGGAATGGTGGTTTGCCCAGTAGAATGGAGAACAGCTCCTTCGGCAGCTGTTTGTGTGCAATTTATGTGAAATCTAATCATTTTCTTACCTGGCTGAGTTCAGTCACTTCAGGTTTTGTGACGTAACCATTCTTGTCCACATCAAACAGTGAGAAGGCCCACTCCAGCTTCAAGGTCGACTTGCCCGAGGAGGTCATGTGAAGTGCAACAACGTACTCTTTAAAGTCTAATGTACCATCATCATTGGTGTCAAATGACCGAAAAACGTGTTGGGCATAAGCCTTGGCATCACTCTCGGGGAAGAATTTAGCATAGATCTCCTCAAACTGTTGTAGTGTGATGCGACCTGTAGGACTCTGCTTCTGGAAGTTCTCATACCACTGGGTGATCTCAGATTCTGAGAACCTGGTAGTCAGCTTGAGGTCATCCAGGATCTCTCTGGGAATCCCTCCACTCTGTGCATTTCCCATGACCTTTCTTTGAGTGACAGAAGAATAGAAGATAGAAGAAACTGATGTACTGACAAAGGTGTGAAATTATGCCCTTAGTAAGGCTCGATGTTAGTCACTCAAGGTTTCCAGTTAAAAACGGGAAGCAAGCAAGTAGCCTAAAGACAAAAAAAATAAAGTGAATCTAACACACAAGAGTGTGGGTCATATTCCACCCCAAAAATGAGTTTTAAATACAGTTATTAAAATACACCCACAATACCAAACATTTTAGTGTTCCTGAAATATGGCATATAGTGTCTTTTTCTGTCATTTATTATTATTATTATTATTATTTGTGTGAGAATTAACCATTGACAGTCAATTGACAGTTCCCTATCATTATTAATATCTTGACCAATAAACCTAGTCATGTTTATTGTACTTAATATTAAGTTTTTCAAATTGGCTTTTAGTTACTCTCTATCACCCTCAATGGATAAATTAGTGTCAGTGTTGCTGAAAAATTAAATATAAAAATACTTCAAAACTACAAAAAAAATAAGAAATGTGACTTAAAAATACCTCTCTTTAGAAAGAATATACAGTGGGTACGGAAAGTATTCAGACCCCCAATACACTACATTAAACATAAATGCATCCCAGTCAGTGGCTTTACTCAGTACAGCTTCCTACATACTTCTGAGTTTATTCATTTGTTTATTCAGTTTTTTTTAATTTATTACTCCTGTGTATTAGTTTTGTCAACATTAAATGCTTGGAAAGAACCTTTATGAAACTAAATCTGTAATATAGGTTGGGCAAAAACAGACTAAACTGTTGTTTACTGTAGTTTATTAAGACAGTTTCATAATTTAATGACTTAAAAGGCATAGCCACTGACTATTTTAACTAATCTTAATAATACTTGGCATAATATTAGCTATGCACAGAAAAGTCAACCATAATTAGTACAGTTTATATATATATATAAACTGTAGCTACTAATTATGGTTGACTTTTCTGTGCATAGCTTATATTATGCCAAGTATTATTAAGATTAGTTAAAATAGTCAGTGGCTATGCCTTTTAAGTCATTAAATTATGAAACTGTCTTAATAAACTACAGTAAACAACAGTTTAGTCTGTTTTTGCCCAACCTATATTACAGATTTAGTTTCATAAAGGTTCTTTCCAAGCATTTAATGTTGACAAAACTAATACACAGGAGTAATAAATTAAAAAAAACTGAATAAACAAATGAATAAACTCAGAAGTATGTAGGAAGCTGTACTGAGTAAAGCCACTGACTGGGATGCATTTATGTTTAATGTAGTGTATTTTAATATAATGATTAATATAGGTGCAAACCAGCAAAGAATATGCAAGATCTAATTAAAATCACTAGGCTCATTAGTAGTGCTCTAGAGAGAAATCAAAAATCTTGTATCTGTATGCATGAATAGAAAACAATGTGCTTACCTGTGGTTGTGGACTAAGGATGAAGAATCAAGGAGCAAGTTATCAAGTGGAAGAGTAATGAGGCAGTGCTGAAGGAGACGGCTACCTCTCCATAATTGGTTAAGTCAATTAAACCAGATTGCACAAGGCTCAGCCAGAAAAAAGATTTACATTTAATGTTTTGTACAGTTGGTTTTTGTGTTCTGTTCTGTTTTTTTAACCCCATAATTATAGTCATGTTTTTGGTTTTAGCTAAACAGCTCTGACAAATTACTAAAATAAACTACACACTCCTGGATGAGCTGAAACATCTGATACAGCCAACTGTTTGCCACAATACTAGATTTTTACATTTAGATTTTTTTTAGAAGTAAAATTATAAAACGATGACGTTTTTGTAGGCTGTTATTTGTGGTATTGGTTGTTTTATTTAAACAACATTATGGCAAAGACTTCCAGAAAAACAGTTATGCCCTCAAGGGGTGCGCTGATCTCAACAATCAGTGTCTAGACAGAGGGATTTCCATTCAGGTCTTTAAAAATCTCATTAAACTAAGTGGTAATGGTCTTCTCCACATGGTGTGCTGTGCAGATTTACAGCATCTTAATGTATTTTAGTGACTTTTGAAATAAAAACAGTTAACTTTGCAGTAGTTGAAAAAAAAACTTGAAACTTGAAATTATCTGGGCAATGACATGATTATCAGTATTATTATCAAAAAATAGAGGTTCAGTTTGAATATTGAATATCTGCTCACTGGAATACACCCTCTTTTTTATTATTTATTGAAGTTTTTATTGTGTCTTTGGAGGGTTGATAGGGGCATGTGTACCATCATTGTGACCTGTAATAAGTGTACTGTAAGTTACTTTGGAAAAAAATTGTTGGCCAAATTACTATAATATACATAATTGTTTGAAAGTAA